TGTGAGGAGCAGGGTCACATCCCAGCCCTACGGACGCACAACCGCCACAGGCCTTAACATGCTTTGCACATGTTTTAATGTCTTCAGATGCAGTGATTTCCATTGCTGTGTAAGTCACATAGTCTGTGAAATGGAGAGTGGGATATATGCAGCCATTCACCATGTGTGTATTTTCTGGCACCTTATATTGCATAAAGAAAGTCACTTACTCGCACAAGAATGGAGTTCTTCAGGATATGTGATCTCTATCTTTAATTCACTTGAGATGTGCATGTGTTCCATGTGCCTGCAAGGTTCATGCTAGCAGTGACCATTAGTCTGCACCTAGTACCCTTCTCTTCCTCATGCTCTAGACCAGTGGTCCCCAACCTTTCTGGGTGGCGGGTGCCACGCGGGGCTGCCAGGCCACCTGGGGGTGGGGCCACGTATGTGCCACGCTCCCGGAGGCATCACTAGATGGGCGTACATAAATGCTGTGGCGGGCGCCATGGATTCCTTTTAATTAGGAATAACCCTACAATAAGGCTTTTCAGCAAAGGGAAAGGAGGGCAGGTAGTGGAATACAGACAGGGACCACATATTGTAAAGAAAGCCAGTTATCGAAGTGACCTTGCTTTTCTGAGGCTATGTCTACACTGCAGAGTTTTTTTTTCAGAAAAATGGCCATTTTTCCAACAAAAGTCACTTATGTCCACACTGCAATCACATTCTTTTGAGAAAAAAAAACAAAAGAACAGAAAAAATCAAAAGAACAGAGTTTTTCCGATGTTGGTAAACCTCTTTCCATGAGAAAGAAGTCTTTTTCCAAAAGAGCTCTTTCAGAAAAAGACACGTGTGGACGGGGAAGAGGGAGTTCTTTCGAAAGAAGAGGAAAGAGGAAAAAGCACAAGTGCCCTTGTGGCCATTTCGTCCATAGTAATCAGGATGTAGTTTCCTGTTCTCTCTGGTGACATTGCTTCAGAGAGGAGACAGATAAATGGATGATCAGGATGTAGTTTCCTGTTCTCTCTGGTGACGTTGTTTCAGAGAGGAGACAGCTAAATGGATAATCTGGTTTAGATTAAATTCCAAGATTATTTTTAGGATGAATTTGCAGTGTAACCTCAGCAAAGCTTTGCGCTTTTGGAAGATCATATAAGGGCATGTCTATACTTACTAGGAGATGGGCACTGTGGCAATCAATCCCTTGGTGGGAGGTGTCAATTTATCAGGTCTAATAAAGACCTGCTTAATCAACCACCAATCAGTCCTCATCAACTGTGATACTGCTTTAGAATGAGAAGTGTAAGGGACTCTGCAGTGGAGACCCCGTGGTAATTCAACCTAAGGTATGTTGACCCATGGCCTGTTCTGTAGAGAGGAAAATTCCAGACTACTAATGGGTGGGTGAGGGAAGATCTCTGTGAGGTCCCATGGCGAACTTCCTTTCCCTGAACTCCCATGCACTGGTGAGGGTGGCCAAGCCCATGACTATTAAAGTGCCAGAGAAGTAACATGTCTGTGCAGCCATCTTCACCGACTTGGTTAATTGTTTCATAGAAAATATTTTAAAGTGTTAATGTAGTGAAACTATTAACTCAAGAGGGTTAAATCAAATTGTTTGACTCATATTCCTATTTTGTTTCTAAGGGAATCCCACCAGGTCTATGTTCACTCTGATCTCTGTGTCCATTTGTATTCAGATAGAGCTGATTTCTGAGTGCCCTGAATCGTGTTTATGTGGATGGTACCACTTTATATTATTCAGGCATTTCAGTGTTATTACTGAGGAGTGAGACCTAGCAGACTTAACATTTAGCCAACATGCATCATTGTATCTGACACTCTGATTCCCAAGATTTCATCTAATTTGGGTGAGTGACTTCTGAAATGTTTAAAAACAGAAAGCTGAACACTTTGCAAAAGAATTTAGACCTAAATTGTTTATCCCGGAGTCCTTTTAGTCATATCAGTTTTTGGCCAATGTTAATAATAACCAATTCTTTTTCCATTACTTGTCCAGAATCATCACCTTATTAGTCTGTGTGTGGGATTTAACGTAATTTAATATTTTAATGTACCTTTTAAACCACTTAGCACATTTCTGGAGGGATGGTTGCATGAGTAAAGAACAAGAATCAGTAAGGAATTCTTGGATGGAGGCATGCTCCCCCTCTGTTAATTGTATCCACCGGTCATTTCATCTTTTGACTACAAGCTCTTTGGGACATAGACTGTCTGTTTATGATGTGTGTGTGTACACTATCCTCTATCCCACAATGAAGGCCATCAGTATAACCAAATCCAGATTATAGTTCTCCTACAAACTTCCTGTATGTGACTTTAGGTGAGTTATTGTAATGGGGTGGCACTCACTTCTCATGGGCACCCCCTATGGCCAAGTGCATGTGCCCTCACTCTCCTGTCTGTTCAAGGCTCTTCAACGTCTCAGCTCTCCAGTCAAGTCACACACACCCTGTGTGCAAATCAAACAAATGGCTAACAGGGGCCCATCTTGGTGCCCTCTGTAGTGTCCCTCCAAGTCTGTTCTCCACTCTGGCAGAGAGCAGTGCCTCCAACACTTCCCTGTCTGGAGACAGAATCTTCACCCTTACCTCTGGGTTTTATCTCAGAGTACCATCATAGGCCAGTCTTCAATAAGCTCACCTTAATGAGCTGTCCATGGTGCTGTTGCTCTCTCAGCCAAGCCTCTCACCCAGTCTGAATCCCTTGAGCTCCACACTGCAACTATTGCTCTGCTTTGCAGCTCCTTTTATAGGGCCTTCCTGGTCCCTGATTGGATGCGTCTCCTGTAGCACTCTAGCCTCCTGGGAGGACCTCTCTACTACCTTTTTTTTTAAAGTGTATATGGCAGGTCCGCAAGGTAGGGGACCTTAGGGCCTGGTCTACCCCGTCACAGTCAACTAGAGTGAGGTGCTGAATGCTGGTCAACCCTATGTACTTCAATGGGAGCTGCAGCTGTTCAGCACTTCTGAAAATCAGACCACTATTCTGAATAAAGTTTTCAAGCGCACCTATTGCTAAATCCATAATTGGGCCTCTGCCTATTCTTTAGAAAAGAGGCACAATCAACTCCTCCAATGGGCTTTTCATCTTCCCACCCAGTAAAAAAGGTACAACTTTGTTTTGCAAATACACAGCAGTATTGGAAGACTCAATTCAAGAATGTTTGTGAAGCATTTTGAGATACTTGGACAGAAAATGCTACAGAAATATAAATCAATCTATCTTCATGGTGTATATGGCTGCCTATCATATAATATCTCAGTGCCTTCCACATAAAATCAATAGCAATAGTGAAACTTCTAACGGATTTCCTGGAGTCCCTGTTATTTCTCCCTTTTTAGGGTAAAATCTTTGGGTTTTTCTCATGTTATCAATTTTCTCTATTGTTTTTATAGAGTAGGTGGGGGTGTTAATGTTGTATCATTCTTGGTTTGGTGAAAATACTTTTTTTTTTTTTGACTTTGCAGTACTTCCTGAAGATGGCGAGACTCTGGATTCGCCCAGTCTCTGGAAGTATGATCCATAGCTAGACCCCCTTGACTGAGAGTGCTTGCCCCCAGCTCTCACATGCTTTGTCAGTGGCTTTGTATCATCCCAAATAAACATAAAATCCATAGCTAGACCCCCTTGACTGAGAGTGCTTGCCCCCAGCTCTCACGTGCTTTGTATCATCCCAAATAAACATAACTGTTGAGGTGGTTCATAGATCGAAACTGGGCCTTTAATGTGGCTTCAGCTTGATCTATAAATTGCTTTGAAGGTTAGGACCAAGACTTTACACTGGCCTTGGAAGCCAGTCTGGGGTCCAGTGGAGAGACTTGGGTGATGTGTGTGTTTGGAATAGAAGCATATACATGGCAAGTAATGTAGTTTTAAGTCATTCTTACTCGTTTCTGACTACTTCCAACCCTGTGTGAATACAACTGGATTATTGAATAACTAATTAGCATTAATGGCTTCCACTAAATTACTTCTCTCTCACCCAGTCATGGCCATTCATTGTGATGAGATTTTCCATTTTTCTTCCTCTCCTTCCGTTCTTTCTGCAGACGCTCCAGTTCTGCTTCGTACATCATTTCCTGAATCAAGTACTTTTCTCTCCTCATCCGATCCCTCAGATCTTTTGGAAGGTCTGGGATTAAATATGAAATCAGGTGCTTTATGCAAAAGACAAGGTGCTGTGGAAGCAAAAGGATTTAAGGTGAATGAAAAGTATTCTTCTTTCTACAGTTTCCAGCTTGATTCATTTTTCAAAGGAGAGTATAATCTCCTTGTTAACAAAAAAATATTGATCTAGACTTCAAACGTCTATAAAAACTGAAATATTAAGGAGCCACATCCTGCAGATCCTCTTCAAGCAGAACTCCTGCCAAAACCAGTGGAAGCTTATGCCTGAGAATTGCTAAATTACTGTTTGAGTTGGCTCAACTTCTCTGTAGCAAAATTCAGCATACAAATGAAGGTCCCAAACCTCCTGTGTGATCTTTTAGTTCAGACTCTGGAGTCTGTGGCCTGTACTCAGGTGGACTCTCTCTAGAACTAGGGGGCCAATGCTAGTGGATCATACTGCAGGAACTGGGACAAAGGATCTACTCCTTTTTTTAATTTGAAAAAACTCCCCATAATTTCTGACCCGAGTCGTTATTCATGGAAAATTATGCTGTTTTCTGATGTTCTGTATCTCTAATTTATAACTCACATTGCAATCTATCTAAAATGTCCCACTTACATATCCAGTGCTTTTATCGATCATTTTGTCCCTAATCACTTAGGCATATTAAAATATAGATTGGTGGGGACAAGGAGAGTTGTTCTACTCGCCTCTTTTTTCCATTTTATTTAATCAAAATGTTTGTTTGGAGTTTTATAAAGTCTGATGAGCAATCTGGGGAATTAGAGCATTGTTCCTTCTCAAGTAAATTATTTACTACAAATTGGAGATGAAAAAAATATTTTCTATTATAGTTTGGGCTCTTATTTTGTGGGTTCAGAATATAAGCTTTTGCATTTTTTCCTGTGAATTTTCTCTTCAGCAGCAGAAAGATGTAATATCTAAATTGATATGTATCACTATGTCTGACAGACCATGATCCTTTAGCCTTGGCACATTGCAAGATGAATAACTTTTTAAAACTTGCTAGTATCTATCTTGTATTTTGAGCTTGATCTATAAGCAAAGTAGCCACACCTTAAACTCTTCTATGTTAACTCTAGATCCAGGTGGCATGCTGTAGTTGCAGTAGTTATTTACATTGATATATATATATCCAAACTCAATGAGAAAGTTTCCCTCAATTATTTATCTCTTAGCTAAATCTTGTATATTATTTGTTCTTTCTTTCCAGTAGCACCTACAATGTGGTAGGTGTTTTCCAACAGAAAGAGAGGCTGGGTCCTCTGTCTCCCAGAGCTTGTTTTATGTTAGGCTCTTCCAACCCAGCAAATGCATCCAATGAGAATCCTTGGATGCATCTCCACACTTCTTACTTTCCTCTCTGTTTTTTTTGCACCATTTACTTCACCCAAGTCCACAACGTAACCTTCTCACAAACACAGTAGGGAAATAAAACCTAGGTGGAGCTACTGTAAGGTAGGTGCAAAGATGGCTGGAAAATCATACCCTGTTAGTCCAGATTATTTGGAATTTTAATCCTATCCTCCAAAGCACTTGCAGGTTCTCCCAGCTTGCACTCTTTGCAGACTTTATAGGCATGCTCTGTATGCTATTATCTAAGTCATTGATGAAAACATTGAACAGAACCAGACCCAGAACTGATCCCTTTGGGAACTTCCCCCCCATTATGTCCTTCCAGCATCACTGTGAACCACTGATAACTACTCTCTGAGAGTGATTTTCCAGCTAGTTATACACCCATCTTATATTAGCTCCATCTAGGTTGTTTTTCCCTAGTTTGTTTCTGAGACGGTCATGTGAGACAGTATCAAAAGACTTACTAAAGTCAAAATATACTACATCTACCACTTCCCAACCGCAAGGCTTGTTGCCCTGTCAAAGGAAACTATGAGGCTGGTTTGACACAATTTCTTCTTGACAAATCCATGCTGTTACTTATCACCTTATTATCTTCTAGTGTTTGCAAACTGATTACTTAATTATTAATTACATCAACTAGTCCTTTATATGAAAACTCACCTCAAATACAATAATAAAAGCCAACCGTGCTGCTAAGACATGCCAGAATTGCAACGTGTAGCCATAGGGCACTGGGGAATGAGGAGGGTCTCGATAGTCTCTGTACCTGAAAACCAAATAGAATGTTGCATTTCAGTAGAGATATAAACTGCTACTCTTGACAGAGGCTGTATTAGAACGCTATTCTTTAGCTATATCCTCCTTGCAACAATAGGGCTCTCAAGCAAAAAATAATACATGTTACTAAAATATTTTGATTCTGTGCTCACTTCCATCAATGTTAATCATGAATAGTGCCTCTGAAGAAAATGGGTGAAATCCTGGATGCACAGAAGTCAATGGGAGTTTTGTCATTGTTTTCAATGACAGGATAAAATCAGTAAGAGAGGAGATTCAGGTCTCTTGGTTTAAAAAATTGTCTTCAGAAGAATTAAGCTCTCAATAAAATAACATTCATATGGATTTTGGTTTTATTGTCAAAGAGGTAATTCCACAGAAACTTAATCCAGAAAAATAATATCACAGAAACCTAATGTAAAAGCAATGGAAAATTTGCCTTATATTACACAGGTTTGAAAACGGTGCGAACAATATCTGAACATAACATATTAAGTAATATACTGAAGCTTTCAGCTCTAAACTAATTTAAAAAACAAAAATAATCACAACTCACAGGAGAAAGAAGAAATAAACAAAAACATTTTTTTCTCTGACCAGTAGATCTCTCAGATTAGAGAAGGAGGTATATACAATGGAATATAATGTGTTTTGGGACTTCAGTCAGCACTGAATTCTTCTTACATTTCAGCATCTTAAGTGAAAATTGTTTTAGCTACTACTTATCCCTTCTGCAGCCAAAACACTGGCTCCCGTGCATGAAATGTTTTACAAAAGAAGAATGTTTGAGGCTGTTTAAGGACTGTAATAGAAGCACTTGGCTGGGAACCTTAGATAGAGAGGGATCTTCTATGGAGTAATCTTGTGATTTTTATACTTGTAATAAACATGGCAGACTAGGAAAGGGGAAAGTCTGACAGATTGTTTCATGTCTCAAATGGAAAGGAAAATATGGGCTCTATATTGGTGAAGATAAATTATTAACAGATCTTGTCTGCATAAACTGTCTGCTTGAAAACTAAAGGACTCCTACCCATGACACAATTTACATGTGGAATACATTCCTGTAATGTCTTTGCAGATAAATTATTAAACTAATTTTATTTCCTATCAATATGTGGCTTTAAAGTGCAATGGAAAATACCAAGAAATATCAGTAGAATTCAGGTTGATTAAATATCTTGTAAACAGATTAAAAGAAAGCTAGTCACTCTCTCCATTCTCCAGGTAGGGGCATATATGTTTAATAAGTAATGATACTAGCCAAGGAACACAGCTGTAGCTCAGAAGTGGAAGAAGAATCAAAGCGCTAAATCCTGCTTTAGTTGAAGTCAATTAAGGCCAGTTAGACTCTCTGTAACAAATGCCAGAGACTGAGAAAGAGGTTTAAGACTATCTTCTTTTTAGTGGTATTGGTGAAAGTTTTGTTTAATTGTTGGTCTAAATTGATAAGAGTTTCACTCCTTCTCCCTTTTCTTCATGATAGACCAAGTCTTTTCTTGGAAAAAGGGCCTTTGTTACAAGTAAGAGTGAGTTTATTTTTGGATGATGGAGATGAATTTATTATTAATACTGTGGCAGAGCCCATGGCTGTGTCTACACTGGCAAGATTTTGCGCAAAAGCGGCCTGTCTACACTGGCTGCGAGTATTTGCACAAGAACTGACGTTGTAATGTACGAAATCAGTGCTTCTTGCGCAAATACTCTGATGCTCCTGCTCAGGAATAAGTGCTCATGCGCAAGTGTTCTTGCGCAAGAGGGGCTCCCCCAGCAAAGACATTTTGCGCAAAAGCAGTCTAAATGGAAAAAAGCCCTAGTGGCTGCTTGGATGCTCCATACCTGCAGGCAACTCCTGGACTTCTTGGTAACCTGAGACCCCTTAAAGGCAGACGCAGCCTGCAGAAGTCATGAGGCAGAAGCCTTTCTGATGCCTCTGCTGAGAGCTATGCCACACGACTCCTGCCATCCCCAAAAGCCACCAGAGCAGGATGGCAGGTCCAGGGGGGAACAGCCACCCACACCCCCAGTGCAGGAGGCCCCAAGGGGCTGAAAATGGAGGGCCCCATCCTGGTCCCTGGGGGAGCTGGAGGCCCTCCTGGACCTCTGGGAGGAACAGGAAGCCCTCCACTACAGCCGCTCCCATCGCCGCAATGCGGATATCTTCAACCGCATGGCCCAGGTGCTCTCCCACCAGGGACATCCAGCCCGGACCCTCGAGCAAGTGGCACCTCCCCATCACCAGGCCCAGCGAGGGGGGGGAGGAAGAAAAGACTGCCAGCGGGTCAGAGGACGAGGCCAGCACTGCGACCCTCCATGCAGAGGCCCCCTCCCCCTGGGTGTCGCATAAAAAGTCATATGTGGATCCTGCAGCTTAGCAGGCCCAGGATGGAAGTTTCCATCCTTGAAGTAAATAGCCTGGGACCCTGCAAGCGCAAACAGCAGCTGGCCCTTATCAACTTTAACCCATGCACTTGAGCTGGGAAACTACTAAGCTGTAAACAAGTTTAACCTCAGTCTCAGCTCATAAGAGTGATAAGAATGGCATTGAGCCAGTACGCACACACCCGATAAACAAATGTAGTATAACTAGTGTGAGGAGTCCCATGCCTGGTGAGTCTCACCTGGGACCTAGACCTCAGAGGGTGCCCTGGATTCCCCCAGCTGGAGCCATGTCCACTGCTAGGGTTGCCAGGTGCCCTGTTTTGAACCAGACACTCAATATTTGAGCTTTCTGTTTGGGAAACAAATGGAGAAAATATAAATGAGAAAATATTTGGTATTTTCTAAATAAGATGTAATGTAGATTGTGATGTAATGTCCAGTGTGTCCAGTATTTTTGTTGAAGCCATCCTGCAACCCTATCCTCTACAGCCTCGTGGGATGGGACTCTCTGCAGACTGAAGGGGCGTAAGCATTTCTAAGTGTCTGTTGCTCTTGTATGCATTGCTCTGCCTGTGCTTATTGATGTGTCACTTTGCAGCAGCTGTGTAACCATTTGGCAGTATTAAGCATGTAATAGTAGTGATTTAGTGAGATTAATAAAAGCAACTATCCCTAATTGACTCTGTTGTTAAGCGAATCCATAATCCTGTTTGGCCACGGCCCCCTGAGTTGACACTGGGTATCTACTTTATATCCACAGATTTGCAGGGCTCTGAATACATGTTTCAAAAGGAAAATAATGCTCTTAGAATTACATTTACTGTGGATTCAGCCTGTAAACTTACACAATACATTTTGGGTACGTCTAGACTGGCAAGATTTGGCGCAAAAGCAGTTGCTTTTGTGCAAAATCTTGCCACCTGTCTACATTGGCCGTGAGTATTTGTGCAAGAACATTGACATTGTAATGTATGAAATCAGTGCTTCTTGCGCAAATACTCTGACGCTCCTGCTCAGGAATAAGCTCTCTTGCACAAGTGTTCTTGTGCAAGAGGCCAGTGTAGACAGGCAGCCAAGACATTTTGCGCAAAAGCAGTCTAAACGGAAAAAAGTCCTAGTGGCCGCTTGGATGCTCCGTACCTGCAGGCAGCTCCAGACTTCCTGGTAACCTGAGACCCCTTAAAGGCAGGCGCAGCCTTGCCCCATGCATCCCTCCCATAGCAATGCCTCCTGCTCCCGCAATGGCCCCTCCTGCTCCTGCCCTTCCTGTCCCCGCAACGGACCCTCCTGCTTCTGCTCCTGCCCCTCCTGCTCCTGCAATAGCCCCTCCTCCCCCTCCCTCTCCTGCCCTCCTCCCTGTGCTACCTGCCCCGACGTGGCCTTACCCCCATGTGCAGGTCTGCCCCTGCAGAAGCAGTCACAGGGGCCACTCCTCCAGCAGTAGCTCCCCTCCCCAGTTAAAAGCCTCCTCCCCCTCCCAGTTGAGAGCCTCCTCCCCCTCCCATCCTACATCTCCCTCCTCCCCATTGTAAATAAAAAGTTCCAACTTTGTGTTAAAAAAAAACAACTGTTGTTGTTTGTTGGATGGGAGGTAAGGAGGCAAGGGTTGGGGATGGGAGGGAGATGGAAAGGGAGACAGAGGAGACCCTACTATGGGGCCTTGGAGAACATCTCCGTCAGGGCCTCCC